GTGCTGGATGAAGATGGTGTCACTGGTCAGGTTGCCGTGGATGATGGGGGGCTCACAGGAGTGCAGGAAGCTGGGGGGGGGGGGAGGGGGGGCACAGGGGGGGTCCTGAGCTCAGCCAGGAACCCCCAGGCCAGGGGAGGGAGCCAGGGGAGGGCTCGGCTGTACCTGAGAGCCGAGAGGATCTGGGTGCACCAGCGCTTCCAGGCCTGGAGAGGGATCAGAGCTCTGTCAGCTGGGCATCCCACGGGCATCCCACTGCCAGGCTGGGTCCTTCCCCCCCATTCCCAGGGGCAAGGACATCCCCCTGTGCCCCTGCCCAAGTTCAGGGTCCTTCCCCCCCATTCCCAGGGGCAAAGACATCCCCCTGTGCCCCTGCCCAAGCTCAGGGTCCTTCCCACTCGTTCCCAGCGACGTGCCCTGCAGAGGCTCAAGGATGGATCCCACGCTGTCCCACCACAGCGTGTTCCCCCTGTTCAAGGAGCCCAACAAAGGCTCAAAGCTGCAGGAGAGCTGGGAGGGACTTTGGACAAGGGAATGGCTTCCCAGTGCCAGAGGGCAGGGCTGGGTGGGATACTGGGAAGGAATTCTTGGCTGTGAGGAGGGGGAGGCCCTGGCACAGGTTGCCCAGAGAAGCTGTGGCTGCCTCTGGATCCCTGGAAGTGGCCCAGGCCAGGTTGGACAGGGCTTGGAGCAACCTGGGATAGTGGGAGGGGTGGGACTGGATGGTCTCGAAGGTCCTCACCCCACAGCTGGGCAGGGGGTTTGCAGTGACACTGGTCCCTTGTCCCCTGTTCCAGCCCTGGCTGAGGGTGCTGGGAAGCTCCCCAGGACAGTGTCACCCACCCCAGGTGCTCCCAGACCCTGGGATCAGCAGGACCCAGCCCGGGCTCTCCTGGGGAAGTTCTGCTCTTGCTCCAGCCCCCTTCCCACAGCAGGTCCCAGGAGCAACGACCCCCACCTGCCCTGCCTTGGAGGGTCCCAGAGACCCTCCCCGTGCTGCTGGAGCCACCCACCCACCCCACCAGGGACACCTCTGTGTGTGCTCCCAGGAACATACCCGGGCGTTCATGGCCTTGTGGTTCTTCTTGGTTTTCTTCAGGAACTGTTTGAGGCTCCCTGAGGACACGTATTCCGTGATGAAGATGACCTGGGGAGGGGGAAGAGCAGGATCAGCTCCCCCTGG